AGAGAGAGAGAGAGAGAGAGAGAGAGAGAGAGAGAGAGAGAGAGAGAGAGAGAGAGAGAGAGAGAGAGAGAGAGGGAGAGAGAGAGAGAGAGGCCTACCCTCTTGTCAACCCGGAGGACAGAGTATGCTCGTTCAAGAGTGGCCAAGTCGCTAGTTTGTTCACAGAGTGAAAGGTAGAGCAGCAGATACTTTCGCACACATGTGATGAACTTGCGGGAACTTTCGGACAATCCAGGTTCCAGCCGCCTTGTGCCACCGACCCCACATCCACCCTTTGGGCCCCTGGGATTCTTTGCACCCCTCCTGCACACCCTCCACAACACAAAGATTGATGCACATTTCGGACACAACCGAAATAAAAAAATGATACAACTTACAAGAGAAGCATAAGGGATCCAAAGTTCCTAGCTCAATGGACATACTGGTTCTTTTGAAAACACCGGACGCTACTTCCCAGCTGTGAAGTACATCAGCAGATGTTATGATCATATATACGTAAATGAGCTTTGGGTGGTACAACCACTAGATTATCTAGTCTACTTCTTTATTTCTAAGGGGCTAGTCTAGTTTCACGACGATTGGAAGATCGAACTCATGAGCTGTTCACTAACGGTTAAGTGTGTATATAGCATTCAACGGTTTCTTTTTCTTCTTCTTCTTTTTTTTTGGGCATTCAACGGTTTCAACCACATGGTCGCCGAACAATTATTTTGAATTTTCCACTTCTGATTCGGTTGTTTCTTAACAATCAAATAAACTGTCAGATGTTTCTTAATAACAATCATATAAACTGCAACTACACCGAGGCAACCTCTGTCGAACCAGCCCCTTTAGCCATGATGAGGCCCTTTTTCTTGCCCAGAGGCAGTGGCAATTACCACAGGTAACTTTGGCCACCATGTAAGCCCAGCCCACCCCACGAAAGGACCCAATGCACTGCCTGATTAAAGCATCTCGCTAGTGCCAGACCTGACCTGCCAAGCCTAATAAGGCCAGATATCGTACTTGTTTCTGGTAGTTTCGCAGGGGTAAATCCAGGTCTATTGCAGTCACTAATACTCAGGAGATTAAGAGTCCCTCCCTGGAAGTGGTAGATTCACGAAGACTCGAAGATCCAAGAACAAATGCCCCTTGTTTTTTCTTCTTTTCACCCTTTCTTTCTTCTTAGAAAGAAAAAGAAACCAATTTCCTTCTATTATTCTATATATTTATATGTTGGCGGAAACCGCGTCCAAGAACAAATGTCCTTCGTATCCTTCGTAGAACTCCTTCAGTCCTTGTTATTGGTTATTGTTGAGCGACGAGGGGCTAGTTAACTGAGGATACTTCGCTTTTCCTTGAGTCATATTTATTGATTATTGACGAGCGATTTGGAGGGAAGTATATGGTTTGCTTTCTGCTCTGCACTACAGAGTCCGCCAAGATCCACAGGTTCTTTGTTGAATGACCAAACACCAAACTGCAAGGAAACCGCACTACGCACACGAGGATTGCAGCAACTGTATTCACCTGGCAACTGACTGGTAGACAGTGTATCACTACTACTGCACATAAATGTAACTGCTCTGCAGACATGTGCAAGAGCCTTTAACTATACAAAAACAGTAGACACTCATTATGAGTCATACAAATACAGTACCTGTACACACCTGGTGGCTGGATGGTACAGTGTACTACATCAGACCTTTGTAAGCTCAAATCCACATGGATACAGTAATCTTATTGGCTTAACATCCTTAACGATTGGGAAAAGAAGTGACGGCAACAACAGCGGCAACAACAACGACGACAACGACGATGATCAACAACTGCCACCGCCGCCGCCGCCGACAATGATCAACGACTGCCACCGCCGCCGTCGCCGACCATGATCAACGACTGCCACTGCCGCCGACGGAGACGATGACGACGTTGACAACAACAACAACAACAGTAAAGGGGAGACAACAACAAGAACAACAGCAACAACAACAACAACGACAACAACGATTGAAGGAGAAAGGCCACGGCAACAACAACAGCTACTTCTACTACTATAAAGGAGCATTTGAGCCAAGTCGCACATCCGCATGTCATCAGGGGCATTGATGAGCTGCCACAAGAAAGACCTATTGTAACAGACAGCCGTCACGAGGACGAATGACAATATGGAACTAGCTGGCACATAGATGGCTGGCAGCATGGCACATTATCCTGCTGGAAAGCAAAAGAACACAAATAGGCTGCTGCCTAATTCTAGGGGCCGCAAACTCTGAAAATTTGACTGGAAGTCGGGTTGCACCAGTGCCTACTCCTACCGGCCTCCCGGAAGTCCACGTACTGCTGTTGTCGATCAGTAGGCGAATCGTCGACAAGCTAATGCACACAATGCACTTGGATTTTTAGGAATTTTAGGTGGCTGGGCCTTTCTGAGGGTAGATGGGGGAGCCAGAATGTGCCCATATACTGCGATTCCTACACATCCAACTCTGAGTCTTGACGTCTCAAAGAAGTACTGTCACATAGTAAACAAATGCGACATTAAACATCATCATCAGTATCCCTTAATCAGGCTGAGTGACATAGATTACGATGGACCAAAAAGAAAAAAAGAGATAAGAATGCACAGCATTGTGGATAGTTTGACATCATAGGAGCACGAGAACATGTACCTACCTGTTCCTGCGTAGCGAGTTGTCGTCAATCTCCCACATGTTAATCGTGAATGGCGATCTTCCTGTCCTGAAACAGAATGCCAGCTCCTCCTTGGCTCTTTCCACCTCCCCAACCCCCCCCCTTCTTAGCAGCCACTTCGCCATACAGTACCGTGCCCTGTGGAAGTGCTTCAGGTCAGCGTCGACACACATCCGCATGACTTCCATGCAGTCGGCAAACAACAGCTCCCATGCGGTGGCTTCTATTTCACTCGGACTCTGACCGCTTGTTCGCACCACCACCAATTGCCCACTGCCAGAGGACGGAGCCTCTGTTGCATCTTCCCCTTCTCCCGCATGGACTACAGCTCCTGTGGACACCATATCACTAATCCACACTGCCCCGACAGGACCCTGCACATCTGCCATTCCTCCTTCCTCCCTCCCTCGAGCTCCATCAACCCCTCTTGCTAGCTGCGACTCGCAGTCTTCCCTCTCTCTCTCACCAACCTGGCCCCTGGAGGACATATCTATAGTAATGTTGCCTTCGGAACACCTCAGCAGATCCTCAACCATGTGTGCTGCTTCTTGACGGAAGCAGTACTCTGCAACAACCTATTTGCAGCAGATTAGCACAATGTGCATCTTTGCATCAGAAGGTAGAGCATCCAATCACCACACACCTTTGTTTTTCGGAGAGTCAAAAGTTTTTTACGAAAACAGATAAATAAAAATTTTAATGCAGCTCGAATTTACCACAAATATCCACCCGTTGCCCTCCAGATACGGCAATGGTGAATCGGTGATCCCTCAGACAAGCTCTTGTATGTAATCACTGCGGAGCTCGGTGCATCTTAGTCATCTCCAACACCGTCTTCGACCATATCTGACACCATCCACATGGCAAATCCAGAGCATCCCGCGAAGAAGAAAGTTCATGGAGATGTGGAGGCAAGAGAAACCTTAAGAATTCTGCGATCATTTCTCGGGCAAGAGCAAAGCAGAGAACCAAAAGCACTTTTTCCTCCTTACCTTAAGGATTCTGCGATCATTTCGTGGGCAAGAACAAAGCAGCTTCATCCTCGATGCATGTAATCGGTAAATGGGATCTAATATCGATGGATTCATCTCAGAGGCTCTCTTGTAGAATGCCAAAGCCTCTCCAGGAGGGTGACCCAGCTTCTCCGATAATTTTCCTAGGTAGAACAAATGCAGCCATTCGGGCCTGCATGCACGTTACGATGACAGTGAAACACACAAGAGCTGCTTTCAGTATTGAAAGCTGCTGTTACCTATATATACAGGAAACAGAAACATATCATAGGTGTCAGGATTTAGGGTCTAGGACTCCACCAGGTACTTTTACCTGCCATGCAAACCGCAAAACACAGAGCAGGGACATATCAATATCTGCTAGACTGCCACTCAAAACATTCATACATACAGCCGTGAATTTTCGTTGTCCCCAACACACAACATTGTCATTTCAACTGTAGCTAAGTAGCCGTAGCGGGAATTTTTGTTGTCCCCAACGCAGAAAAAAAAAGAACCAAAAAAAGCAGAATCAGTAGGAAATTACTAATCAGGAATACAAGCCCATGCATTCTCTTTTTCCTTATCTTTGTAAGGGCGACAGCCTTGAGATATCATCATCGAACTGACCGGCCCTAGGCAATTCAGAAATTTCAAAGTTGTAGTATTTTACTTGTATGCTTCCAGTGGCGTTCCAACTCAGGTCTGTATTTCAATAGTTCAGTTCAGGCAGGGGTGTACCAACTGACCTAATCCCATTGCATAATTTGCATTCACTTTCAGGCAAAGACAGAAATTGTACCTACGAAAACGTCTGATAAGGCGGAGGCGGAAAAGGCCAGCTCCACCATCAGCAAATACATACATAGATAACCGTCACTGGCAATTGCTTAATTTAACCCACCATGAGTACACATGAATGAGCACAATAAATTTCAAAGAATCATTGCAGCGGCCCTCATAATGAATTGCGGAAAATCATTGCAATTAAAGCAGACCGTAAATTGGTCCGTGGAATAAGGCTTGCGGATGATGTGTCTTTGTTTGTCACGTACAGACGGACGAGGAACGAAGCATGGTGAAGGACACTGAAGGTAGACAGAATTGTTGAGATTTTTGGGAATTGTTACCCCCAGAACTTGACGTTAAAATGGACAGACGATGGTCTGGGTGCATGGGATTTTTTGGGGTGTCGTTTGGGTGTGAGAGGTGGGTACCCTTTTCTGGGAACGGCTCAAAAGGTAATAAAAAATGAAGCGACGATCTGGGTGTCGGAATGGTTGGACATGGACTTCATTCAGAGTGAGACTATGGCGGTGGGAGGTGGGAGAGGTATAGCAGTAGTTGAGCAGTACGAATCCATCGTCGCTCGGTCACCTTGTTCTTTCAACATCCGTGCTAGGCATGGATGAACCACCATAGCTAGTTGTCTTACGCCAAGGAGAGGAAGCTAAAGGAGAGCTCCTTCTGCACTGGCAGTGGGGAAGATCATTCAGACATTGATTGCCTTCTGTTCATTCATTCAGTTACTGCTGTATATAATTGTCAATACGAGGTGGAGGTGATTATGTGGCGGTTGAGGTCGATGGCGAGAGGAAGACAGCGATGACATCGGTTCGGCCTTGTGTTCCTCTTTCTTCTTTCTTCTTTCTTTTTCTTCTTTCTTCTTTCTTCTTTCTTCTTTCTTTTTCTTCTTTCTTCTTTCTTCTTTCTACTTTCTTCTTTCTTCATTGTTCACGCTCATTTTCGAGTTGTGATGTACAGCAATAATAGCATTATCTGAACATTTTTTGAGTCTCGCATTAAGAATTTCGGCAGGTTCGTGCGGAAAATAGTGAAGCTCCAAGTTTAAAGTTTTGCGATTGAAGATTACCAAAAACAGCAATGCAGTGAATTCAAATAGTTGAGGAGATGGGCTTCGATAAGGTCGAGTGACATTTTCCTCGTTCTTCGCTAATGCATACTATCAGTGAATGGACACGTAATACAGCAAGAGAGGGGTTTTCGCAGGGTCAAGTTTACTTTTTAGCAAATGCACCCTTGAAGTGTAATGTCGCATTCTCGCACAGATTCCTCCACGCTTTCTCCCTCACAGGCTGGTGTCGGCGTTGATCATATAATGGCACCACATTCTGAATGGCATCATAGTACACTAATCCCAGCAACTCCTGCACCTCACCCTGCCATGGCCAATACGAATTCGTGAGGAGAATGAGTCTCATACTCAAAGCACATATCCTTTTGCTCACCACAGCAGACGCATGAGAGAGACAACTTCAAAGGCAAGCAGCTAATAGTCCAAGCGAAAATCGGTTGCCATCCTTCACTTCGTTGGTCTCCGTCCCCCAGCGGCCAACGCTGACGAACGAGCAGATCAGAATTGCCAGCAGTCCTTGGATGCATCGGGCCTGAAACTACACACCAAAGCAATATGGTTTTCGACCACCTTTGCACTCCCCACCCCTCAAGTGGACCCCTTTATAGCTTCAACCAGAGCTTCAAGATCTGTGTGCAACAGCATATTTACAGACTCAAGGAGTGCAGCGGCCCTTGGCACCCTGACAATTCAGATCTAAGCGCAAGGATGCGCGAACCCCGCTTTGCGCTACCAACCCCCGAGTAGACCTCCTCACACACAAAGGTGTCCAAACCCCTCTTATTGCTCCCAGCCTTTGAGTAGATCCCTTGAGCATGAACCAGCTGCAAGATCTGGGCAAATATACTTGAGTGAATGATGCAGAGACGGTGCTGCAAAATGGAACAACTCCCACACAGTTCCTGGCACCCCTTTTTTTTTCTCCTTTTTTTTATTTGGACTATTTCTCAATTTATGTGTGTCGTCCTTGCGCAGGAGCCATGCTAATCTTCACTGTATCGTTTCAATTTGAACAGATGTCCCGAAGGACAACCCCGACACCTTTTCTGACACATCTGAAAGCAAATATATGAACTTTATGGAGGCATGTAAACTTTATATGCTTAGGTGAAGTTAGGTCAGATGTCATAACCAGTGAAACAC